ATAGGATACGTTATATATATATATATATATATATATATATATATATATATATATATATATATATATATATATATATATATATATATATATATATATATATATATATATATATATATATATATATATATATATATATATATATATATATATATTGTTAATAATGGTGTAATGTGCATAACAGAATTCAAGATTAAGAACTCTTAAATGAATTAAGGACAAAGGTTGATTAAAAAGAAGTTCATAAGGGCATTTAGATTTGAGAAGAGGTGTAGGTAACCTATTGATTATGTGAACCACATGTTGAACGTAGAAGTTCCACATATTTAGAGGAATGTTGGAATGGAAAAAGAGAGAACTAGCCACATTAAGAATGTGCTGGTGTTTCCTTTCCACCACCCCATTTTGCTGGGGTGTTTCAACACAAGTTCTTTGGTGAATGATGCCTTTGGACATAAGAAATTCTGACAAAGCAAGAACTTATGTACCATTATCAGATCTTAAGCATTTTAGGGTGGTGTGAAACTGATTTTCTATGTATGCTACAAAATGAATAAGTCTAGTTTTATTTTGAGCTTTGGTCTTAAGGAATATTACCCAAGTATGCCTTGTATAATCATCAAAAAGAGTCAATAAATACTTATGTCCTAAAGTAGAAATGGTGGAGAAATGTCCCCATAAGTCAGCATGCAAAATAATAAAGGGAGTAGAGGAATGAGAAACACTATTAGGGAAGAGAAGTTTCTTTTGTTTAGCAAACTAGTAAGAATCACAAGGTACATCATTATTATTACATGTAATGAAAGGAAAAGCTTTGGATACATTTTGTAAACCTATGTTGGATATATGGCCTAGTCTAAAGTGCCACAAATTACAAGAATTGTATGCAATAGAAAAATTGGCAGAATGGGAAGCTTTAAAATCAAAAACATATAGTCCTCTGTGCAAGCTAGTTATACCAATCATTGCCTTATTCTGCAGAATGTGGAAAGTGTCAACATTAAATTTCACAAAACAACTATTGCTATAAACTAATTTGGCAATAGAAATGAGATTTACATGGAAAGTAGGAATGTAAAGCACATTTTGAAGGATTAAAGAAGGAGAAATGGCAACTGTGACAGAAATAAAAGCGATGACCTGTGAACCATCAGGAAGACTGACATGGATATGCACAATGTTTTTAAAATCACTGAAAGATGACAAGTTAAAAGATAAGTGATCAGTAGCACCAGTGTCTAATATCCATAAAGTAGAATTCTTACCATTCACATTGGAAGAGTGGGAATGCATGACAAAGGGTGAGGTAGACACATAATTCACATTGGAAGTAGGCTTGGATTGTTGAAACATCTCTAGAATGTTGTTGTACTTCTCTTGAGTAAACCCAAATGAAGTAGAATTTGAACTCCTAGGAGTGGCTTCTGAAGCACTGTTAACCGTAGCAGCTGATGATGAAGCATTTGAACTTCCTTGAGCCTTGTTCTTTCCTCTATACCTTGGTGGAAATTCATGCTTGAGGAAACATGTTTCAAGTGTGTGATTAGTTGTGCCATAATGTGTGCAGACTCTATTGTGGCCTCGTGGAGCACTTTGGTTCTGGTTATTAGCACAATAATTAGTGTTACCACTTTTGGCAATATAGTAGTTGTCACGAGTTTGAGTCTGCAAGGCACTGGCTTCTACATTGATGTGTGTATCAAGAATCACACTAGAAATAAAGTTATCCATTTCCCTTTCTTGTTGAATAACAAGTGAAAAACCTTTGTCAATATCAGGTAAGGGATTCATCATCATAATTTGCGACTTGGAATGAGCAAATTTTTCAGTTAATCCCTTGAGAAACCTAATAACATCGTCTTGTTCTCTATACAATTTTACTAATGCAATAGCACCACATGAGCAAGGGATAGCGCAAGAACGGAAAGGGATTAGACAATAGGTTTCCAACTTATCCCACATGACTTTCAATTGAGTGAAATAGTTAGACACATCGAGAGTACCTTGGTGAAACTTGTAGAGATCCTCTTGAATGTCAGAAATGCAAAAGATATCGCCAAGAGAAAATCTAATCTGCAAATTCTTCCATACACTAGCAGCATTATTAATTCATAGAACCGATTTTGCTATTGACTCCGAAATCGAATGTTGAATCCACGCAAGAACCATGGTATTACAGCGAATCCATGACGCATACAACGAATATGAAACTAGAGGCTTTGTTAGTGTTCCGTCAATGAATTTATCCTTGTTCTTAGAGATGAGCGCAATCTGCATCGACCGAGCCCAGATGTGATAATTCTTATCGTTGAGTAATGGCGTAACAAGAACGAGTGTTGGATTCTCGTTTGGATGGAGGTAATACGAATTTGCAGAATTGGTAGAGAAATCAGCATAGCTCTGCTTTGCCATTGAAAGAAACAAAGAAAAATCGAAAAGAAAAAACACGATTGGAGAAGAAGCAGAAAAAAGGAATCGCAAAAAAAAAGTTACAATGACTACCAGAACTTTGTTAGCTTTGATACCATGTTAATAATGGTGTAATGTGCATAATAAAATTCAAGATTTGCATAACAAAAAACAAATACTGAACTCATTAAAAGAGAAGAAGATGAAAAGCTTAAATGTTTCATTCAACTTATATAACAGTACATAAACAAAATTATATATACAATGGATTAAGACCCAGTAACCAACTGCCATGTAAGCACACTATATATTATCTATATCTAAAGAAAAGATAATATATATATATATATATATATATATATATATATATATATATATATATATATATATATATATATATATATATATATATATATATATATATATATATATATATATATATATATATATATATATATATATATATTCTGTCATCCCTAATCATAATTGTATTTAAAAAATATTCTAATTTTTATTTTAAAAGTTAACCAAATATCATTTACAATTATTCTAAGCAAGAAAAAAATCTTATCATAAAAATTTTTTATAACAAAACACAACACTAACAATTCTCTATAACACGCCCAAAATGTACGCGCTCATAGAAAATAAAATCACCATTAACAACTCATGCATTTATTTTATAGATTAAAATAGTAATAAAATTCTTTTATTATATAAAATTAATGACCATGATGGTAACTTGAGGATTTTTTATTTTAAAAATTTTAAATTTAACATTTTTTTAATATAATGATATTTCCAATTTTTTAGATTATTCTAAGAGGATTCTCATTTTTCTTAAATATATTTTAATTATTTATTTTATAATTATATCTTCCATCTAATTAATATGATGTATTAAATATAAAATAATTTTACTATGTCATCCCATGACTATAGTGTATTTTATTAAATCTTATTAATATTTTTTAATTAATGGTATGAAATTTATAAATGACAATTTTTTATTGGATGACAGTTTGTCCATTATACTCTATTGATATTATGATTATTATTCTAAAGTTAATATCATTTAATATATATATATATATATATATATATATATATATATATATATATATATATATATATATATATATATATATATATATATATATATATATATATATATATATATATATATATATATATATATATATATAAATTGTCATAAATTATAAACAATATTAATTAATTTACAATTCGTAAGCAATATTAATTATTTTTTTCTCAAAATTACAATTATTTTAATTTTTCATTTTCACGTAATTTCTAAAAGACAATATTATAAATTAATACATAATTTTTCTTTTACATCTATAATACTTATTATTTTTTACGACACAAGCTCATATGAAAATAAGATCTTCATTAGTCACTCACGCACTAAAAAAAATAGCATATATTTTAAAATTATTATAATTTTTTTATTATTATACAAAAGCAATGACCATGATGATAACTTCTGGAATTTAAAAAAAATAAATAAAGTTAACATTTGAAAATGATGATATTCCTTATTTTTTATATTGTTTTAAAAGTATTCTCGTTTTTTGAAATATAATTTCAATTATTTATTACAATTGCACTTTCCATCTAATTAATATGAGAAAATAGAAGATGTATTATCAATATAAAATCATTTTATAATATTATTCAATGATCATCATATATTTAGTCAAATTATATTAATATTTTTAAGTTAATTGTATAAAATAGTTGAATAATAAATTTGTATTCAATAACTGTGCACATCCATTAATACTATATGTTCCATTCTAAAACTAATAATCTACTTTATAAATAATAGAAATACATTAATAACTAATATATATGAATAAATAAAATTTTCATTTTTTTCAATTTATCATACTTTTGGTTGGACGGCATGATAAAACCTAAACACCTTGAATGATAAACTTTGTGCTCTCAAAATTGCTCCTAATTCAAACAGCAAAAAATACACGTATTTGGCGTGACTAAGCTGTCAAGGATCCATATGGCAATTAAAAAATGGAAATTATATTCTTTAGAAAAATAAAATAATACTATAATGAACTATTTATTTATTATCCATAGAATATTACTATAGCATACAATATGCTTGGTAAAAGTAAATAAAAAAGGAAAAGTTGAAAACCCAAATTTCAAAAAAGGAGTGAAAGTAGAAAAAACGTGAAAACGAATCCTCAGACCGAATTCTGACACCACTTTTATTATATTTTTTGGAAACAAAAATGGGATAGTTGAATTTAATACAATAAAAAACAATAAATTAAATATTATTTTCATAGAGATGCGTTTGACTTTCTACTCACTCTTAAAAAAAACCACAAATAAATAACCATAGCCTAAATAAATACTAAGCTTTATCTGAATCATTCATACAGCCTCCCTAGTACTTAGCCACATCTATTGCATGCTCTTCCTCCTCTCCTTCTTATTCTCTCTTTTCTTTCTCTATATCTCACAAACACCAAACCAAATTTCTTACCCACAATAATCACAACAACCACCAAATTTCTTATAAAAAAGAAATATCTATTCTTCTCATGGCCGTTGAAGCTAGCTTCATGAATCTCATGCCTTCTACCCATTTACTCGCAACCAGGTGCTTTTACCGTTTCATTGTTCGAACCAGTTTCACGAAATGAAATGAATTTTCTTCATTTCATTTCGTGCTTGTACTGGTTCGAAAGTTTTTTTATAAACGATTTTTGGTTAATATACTATTTTGTTTTGTTTATACAGAGAAATGATGAAATCCAATCAACAGCAACAATATCAGCAACAGCAGCAGCAACAAATGATGAACTCGAACATGTACAATGTTCCGATGAATTCCGCCATGCCGATTCCGACGACAATGCATGAATCTATGCTTCCGTTTTACCAATCAAATGTTTGTGATCAAAACAGAGCAGATAGTGGTCTCACTTATAATAATCCTCTTCAAAGAAAAAGATCTAGAGATTTATCAACTGAATTGGTTTCTCTGCCACCTCAACAGAAAAACAGAGTAATCTCTTCTGAATCATCTTCCTTTGCTGATCAAGTTCTCTACCAATTTCAGAATCAACAATCTGAAATTGATCGCATCCTTGCTCATCATGTAATTTTTCTTCCTTTCACTTGATTCATTTCTCTTATTTTTGAGTTTTTTTTTAATATTATTTTTATAAAAAGTTGTTTTCAAAAAGGAAAAAAAAAAAACTGTTTTGATTGAAAAAAGGATGTAACTGAAAAAATGGTGTGTGAAAATTTCAAACTTTGAATGAAAATAATTATGAGATGTTTTATAATTTTTGAAGTAGTTCAGCTGTTTTGATTGTGTGGTTATATTTTTTTTAAATCATTTTTTTTAAAATTATGGGATAGATATTTAAAGATTCTGCGTAATAAATGTGATTTACTAAAAAAACAGAAAATGGATTATCTCTTCCGTTTTGATTATCTTTTAAATAAATAAAATGGTTGAAAATATATACAAGTTTTCCATTTTTATTAAAAGTTATTCAAATTTTGTAATAACTTTTCAAAATTATTTTTTTTTTAATTTAAGTGAGATTAGATTTTTTAAATTTTTTTTATGGAAATATATAATTTATCTTCTAATTGAGAATACATTAATATCATATTATATATTAATGAGTAATTAATATTAGTTTTATATGGTTGAACAGAATGAAAAAATGAGAATGGAGTTGGAGGAACAAAAAATGAGGCAATCAAGAGTGTTGGCATGCGTGATTCAAGAAACAGTAGCAAAGAAAATCAAAGAAAAAGACGAAGAAATTCAAAGAATAGGAAACTTAAATTGGATCCTTCAAGAAAGAGTAAAAAATTTAAGTGCTGAAAATCAGGTTTGGAGAGAGTTAGCACAAACCAACGAAACTACAGCCAATTATCTCCGCAACAATTTAGAACAAGTCATGGCACATGTCAAAGAGGGACAACATCATGCCGCATTGATCGAGGATGATGCCGAATCGAGCTGCGGCAGCAATAATGCTGCCGATGATGCGGACGATACTGCGGCGGGGCCGATAATCGGCGGTGGTGGTGGTTTGGTTAGGTTGTGTAAGAATTGTGGGGTGAGGGAATCAATTGTGCTGTTATTACCATGTAGGCATTTGTGTCTTTGTAATGTGTGTGGGTCCAGTGTTAGGAAGTGTCCAGTTTGTGACTCTGGCATGGATGCTAGTGTTCATGTTAATCTTTCTTAGGTTAGGTTAAGAAAGTTAGATTAGGGTTTAGAATATTACAAATTTGATTAGAGAAAAATAGGTTTAGTTTTAGGTTTTTATTTAATCAATATGTTGTTACAGTTAGAAGGAAAAAACAATAAAATAAAAAGAAATAGAAATCTTTTAAATTATTTTACAAATTTTGTTTAAAGAAACTTTGCATGACTTGTATTGGAATAAAATAATGGAAAAGGAGATAATATCTAGACAATAAAATTATATCCGGTCAAAACAAATAAAATATGAAATATATTAGTTGTGTGAGTATAAAAAAAATAGTAATTTGAATTCAAAGGATGTAATATCCATTTTCTGAAAAGATAAAATCAATTATATTTAATTTTCATGCGTTATTTTATTTCCCAAGAATATATATATACTTTTCAAAGTAAAGTTTCAATGCAAAGAAAAAGAATAAAAAAGATTTATCTTTTTTCACATGGCATCATTTTCATTATTATTATTTGAAAAAAAAGGTAAAGTGTGAGTAAAAAGAAAGGTTAATTGGAGTGAATAGTTGGTAAGGTTGGAAGGAGAAAAATAGGAGTATTTTTGGACAATAGTGGAAGAAAGAGTGAAAAGAATATAAAGGTGAAAGGAGAGTGATGTAAGTGGGTATGAATGGGTTTGGTTTGATTAATAATTTTGAGTTTGAAAGTCATAAAAGTTGAGACAGACCTAAAATCCTTATAAAGTGAAAGCAAACAAAGTAGAATAGTGTATAGCATAGCATGGGCAAAGTATAAAGTTTATAATGTCAAATCAGCATCATTGTTTCTTGTACCACACTATCTTGCCTTGGCTACCTTGCACTATTATGTATAGGAATAGGATGCTTCCTCCTCTCTCTCTCTACTTTTCTCTCTCCCCTCTTTTTTTTAAATCACCATTTTATTTATTTATTATTATAAAAAATATTTATTTTATTACACCCCTTATTACACCCCTTATCAAAATTTTATATATTTTTTTATTTTTTATCGTAAAAATACTTTTTTAGAATTGTAACATAAAAATATTTTTAATTTATATTCAAATATAATATACAAATTATTTAATAAATTAAAAAATTTAATTTTTTTGAAACTATCAAAATTTTAGAGTTGTATTTTATATATATTTTTATTTTTTTATCGTAAAAGTACTTTTTTAGAATTGTAACATAAAAATATTTTTAATTTATATTCAAATATAATATATAAATTATTTAATAAATTAAAAAATATAAATTTTTATAAAAGGAATTGAAAAATATTTTTTTATAGTGATTTTATAAAAATTATAAGCTCTAGAGTTTTTATATAATGACTCTGGCCCTCAGATTCAATGTAATTTTAATTAATTTACTATAATATTAAATATGAATTCTTTTAATCTAATTTTAAATTCAAATATGAAATAATAATTTTTAATAATAAAATATATTTTTTTAAACATCCTATTAGTTTTTGATAAATAAATTTTAAATATAATAATAAATTTGGTCTCTAATTAAATAGGAGACTTATATTATTATTTTATTTTATTATTCAACATATTCTAGAAAAGAGATTTAAAATTTAAAATACATTACATATATAGCTAAAACAAATTTTGTTAATTATTTATTGTTAATAAGATTTCTTCCCAAGTCAGAAAAATAATTAAAATTTTCTTTCTCTATCTATAATATACTTGCCCCCACTCATCCAGTACTTTTTGGTTGCATTTTATGTACAACCTTTCCAAAAATAACAACCCGTTTCTTCTATATAAAAAATAAATTGTCGGCAAAAATTGAAGACAGAATATAGAAAATTAATCTCTGACAAAACCTATTATTATTATTATTATTATTATTATTATTATTATTATTATTATTATTATTATTATTATTATTATTATTATTATTATTATTATTATTATTATTATTATTATTATTATTATTATTATTATTATTATTATTATTATTATCAATAATTGAACCTCTTATATAATAATGAATTAAACTTAAAATACATAATATATAAAGCTAAAAATAAGATTTTATAATTCTAATTGTGATTTATATATACCGATCTTAAAAAGTGGGTTTAATTTGCAATATAAGAAATATCGAATAAAATAATATTAAATAATTAATAACAGTAAAAAATAATTTTTTGTATTGTATTATATTTGATGGTTGATTCATTGTACAACTTTTATCTATTTTGTTTGATATAACTTATGCACTAAATAATATAATTTTTATTGAAGATAAGATATTGAAATTTGTGAATCAAAATATTAAATGATGAAAAAGAGGAGAAAAATAACTATAGGAGAAAAAATTGTACTCAATTTTATTTGATATGTCACTACTAGAAAAAAGACATTTGGAAAAATGATTTTAAATCTGGTATTCACTCGAACTGATTTAAAATCTAAAAATATAAACACGGTGGCAGTATCGTAAATAATAAAAAAAAATTTACTAGATTTTTTACATCGGGCCAATTAATTAACCGATGTAAAAAATTGAAAAATAATATAATTTTATTATAATATTTTTTATTAAAAAATAAAATATTAATATTATATTTATAAATTATAATATTAAAAAGAAAGATATAAAAATAATATAATTTTATTATAATATTTTTTATTAAAAAATAAAATATTAATATTATATTTATAAATTATAATATTAAAAAGAAAGATATAAAAAATTGTATTATGATATTTTTTGTGTTAGACAAAAAGTTGTCTTATGGTTTAGTAGTGATGGACAACAATTCATATTTTTGTCATGTCCTTTGTCATATATTTTGTCATGTCCTATGATAAATTTTTGCATTAAACATAGTAAAAGTTTCTTCAACTCTTTAGTGGAAAGAAAACTCTCGTTTTCACCATCTTCCAAAGAAGGAAACCTTACTAACTTGTGATAGCAATCCAGATGAACTCTATTAAATTGCAACCAGTTCATACCCAAGATTACGTCCAAACCTTCCAACAGCAAACACACTAAATTCATAACGAAGTCCCTACCATACATGGTCAAAGGACAACTTGCACACACCAAAGAAGTAGTTACCGACCCCGAAGCGGGAGTCCCAATAACCATACCACTACTCAAAGAAACCATACACAAATCCAACCGCTTAGCACACGCAAGGGAAATGAACGAGTGTTTCGCTCCAGTATCAATAATAGCAACTAAAGGCATATCATTAATAAAGCATGTACCTTTAATCAAACGATCCGCCGCATTAGTAGCGTCTGAACCTGCTAATGCGAAAACTTTTCCGCCCGCCTGAGCTTGCTTCGGTTTGGTACAATTCGAGCTAATGTGACCCACCTCGCCACAATTAAAACACTTCACAGCATTCTTCCTACACTCTGCTGCATCATGTCCAAGGAGCCCACAGTTGGAACACTTCGCCTTGAACTTTCCACAATCATAAGACTTGTGGCCCATCATGCCACACTTAAAACATTTGATCGCACCGGAACCTCCTCCAGGTCTCCTATCAAAGTTTCCCCTATGTTTGCCCTTATCAGCAGGCGTCACATAAGGTCCGCTTCGTACTTGCTGCTTCCCTCTCTTCTCGCTCAAACCCTTATAATGAGTAGAATGAGCTCTACTGTCTTCTTCATAAATCCTACAGCACTCGGTCAAATCCGAAAATCTTCGTATCCTTTGATAACCCACCGCTTGTTTTATCTCAGGACGCAAGCCATTCTCATACTTGATACATTTGAAAAATTCCGCCGTAACCGCATCATAGTGAGGGTGAAACTTCACTAACTCAGTAAACCTAGCGGTGTAGTCCACCACCGACATATTACCTTGTTTCAACTCCAGAAATTCCATTTCTCTCTTCCCTTTAACACTTTCGGGATAATACTTCCTTAGAAACTCAGCACGAAATAAATCCCACGTAATCTCCTCGTCGTCGACCTCAAGAACTTGCCTCATGCTGACCCACCAGTCATCAGCCTCTTCTCTCAGCATGTGAGTCCCTAGTCTCACCTTGTTCCCTTCAGCACAATCCATCACCCTAAAGATCCTCTCAATTTCCTTTAACCATATCTGAGCACCATCCGGATCAAATCTCCCTTTGAACACCGGTGGTTGGTTCTTCCTGAACTCATCATTCGCATTCACGTTAGGTGCACCCTGCACAGCTCTGGCCATAGCCTCTAACGCCGCTGCCATAGCATTGTCGTTACGACCTGCCATATTCTGAGGATTCCCAAAAATAACAACAAGGTTAAACAACCGTTCAACCAACACAACCACAAGACAGACACGACTGATTCAACACTGGCTCTGATACCACTTAATGTAACACCCCCTTTCTATACCCCCAAATTAATACATTTAATCAATTAGGCACTTAGAAAATTTATTTCATCAGAGTTTAATTAAAACATGGTATATAAGAGGCGCATCACATTATCATGAAATTAAACACATACGATACCTGCTCAAATTAGATATGCAACAATGGGTAACCCACATCTCAATATTTAGAATAAAAGCGGAAATATCCAAATATTGAATCAATCACATTCATGAACGTATATACAACCATCAGTTAATTCATGCTTTACAACATATCCACAGCAGATACATACACATATGTATCACAAAAGAATCAAAACAATGTAACTCCAAAAGAGTCAAAGGCTTCCTAACTACCCAGATGTTACATATCAGAGTCATTGACCAAAAAGAATGAAGACATCGCTTCACAAAAAGAACCTCCAGCTTCCTACTCTGCAATGCCTCATAGAGCATTATAAAACAGCAGAAGGGTGAGAAACAATATCATAACAGTTAATGCATAAAATTGTATATATACATATATCCATAATTGCACCAGTCATACTCAATTTATGTTCTCACCACATTAAGCATATACAATTAATCATGTCTCTATACATACACAAGAATATTCACTATATGCTCATCCAGACAATCATATATAACATACACAGTTATATTCATT